GGTCTGCATACGCAGGACTTGGTTATTACTTTGTTTATCATAAAACATAGAGGTGGCGAAGTATTCAAAAACATTCTCAGGTGTCAAAGGACCATTAGCCTGAATAATAAGCAGTTAGATATCTTTTTTATATATTTAAAAATGACATAAGATGAGATAATAAAATAACCTGTATCCATTCATGCCATATGAAGAAGCGATGACTGTAATCATCTGGAGGATGAAGATCGTTGAGGTCCATACTATAATGGGAGTTGTGAGCAAGAAGTGACCAAAGCAATGGTCGCGCCAAGAAAGATCAAATTAGCGTGAACATGGTTTTTGATGTCAACCGTATCACTGGGCAAAGGTAATTATCGTCTACCTAAAATCTAATACAGATGTTTATATCTTCGCACGGGAAGCATTAGTCCCATTCACACCGTGTTTCAATCCATTCTCTTGGGTTTGGCGCACTTCATTATGACCCTTGCTTTCTTGGTCGCCAACTTCGCCCCTTTGCCCTCTAACTGGCATGTCATACCCCCATAACCATCATGAACAACCCAAATCTCTGGCTTCGGGCACCAAAAGCGCCTTTCTGGGTGGTTTAAACGCCCTCGTTCACCATGTAAAACGTCATGTCGGCGTTGGCATTATATGTTCGATTGCTTATTTCGATCCGTACGCGCCCAATATTTCGCCGCCAACTCATGAAATTTACTCATTGAAAAATCCATCCTCTTCCCTTTTTTCTCAGAGGAAATTGGAGTGTTGATCTTCAGGCAGGATCCGATTTTGGCTACCGACCGATGCTATTTGTTATCCTCATGGCAGGATTAGGAGCCATTGTGCTACAGGTGACTTGTTCTTAATTTTGGTCTTCAAGGCCTGAATTAACAAAGACTCCGACAGGCATTGGCATGTAAGCTGGGTTGTGTAACAGGCTTAGGTTTGTTTTCCCCTTCTCATCGAGGTTGACGCTGTTACTAAAGCGTATCTTCCCAACCGTAGACCTGGCTAGTCACTGCCGACTGTTGCTTCATAACCACCCGCGCCATCCAAAGCTGGTCAGGCGTATGCTTCTTTACCCTCTCTATGTTCTATCGGAAATTGCTATAATCTCTACCGACCTCGCCGAATTACTTGGCTCTGCCATTGGTTTCTGTTTGCTATTTCCAAAGCTCCCACTTTGGGCGGGCGTTGTTCTGACTGCAGCAGATGTCTTGGTTTTCTTATCCTTTACCGACCCTTCTCGTGGTCAAGGGAGACCTGTCAGAATGTTTGAATATACCATCATTGCACTTGTAAGTTCATCACTCCGATTTTGATACAAACAGTTAAACGAAATCTATCAGGTTTTGGCTGTGTTCGGATGTTTCATCGCACTGCTGATAAAGGCACAGCCTGACTGGTCTGAAGTGTTTATGGGTTACATCCCGAACAAAGGGCTCTTCCAATCTGAACCCGACGCCGTGTATGCTGGTATGTCAAGAAATCTACTTGCAGATTTACTCAGCAAGTTAACGTGTGATAGCTGTTGGAATTTTGGGTGCCACTGTCATGCCTCACGCGTTGTTTCTTGGCTCGTCTCTAGCGACTCAGGACAGAGTGACAGATCCCCTACCCGAAACAAGCTTACCAACACCAACTACAAACCAGAGTCCCTCCCTTCGAGCCAAAGCAAAACTGGCCTTTATTCGACTCTTCCGTTTGTCGCGCGCGGAACGAGTGTCATCTTCGATAGACTATCGTTCGAAGTATGGCGAACGCGAAAACAACTCCTACGCCTTCGTCAAGCAACATCTTTCCCATGGGATAGCTGATGTCACTGCAAGTTTGGTTGCCCTAGCTGTCCCAATAAACTCCGCGTCAGTGTTTTTTTACCGTTTAACATTCAACTTGGATGTTTTTAACAACATTTTTAGCATCTTAATTCTCGCCGCGACCGTATTTTATAACGCCGGTGACAGGAATCATGACTCGCCTGCTGGCCTTTTTGAAGCCCATGACCTTATTAAACAGAGGCTCGGAGATGGTAATTCCTCGAAGCTACCCATGCTCTCTCGAATCTCTGCTCACTCCACATTCTATAATAAGGTGCAGCACTTATATTTGCTCTGGCTTTGGTTTGTGCGGGCCAAACGTCAAGTATCACAGTAACCTTAGCCGGACAAATAGTTTCCGAGGGATTCATCGAATGGAAAATGTCGGTGCGTGGAGCGTGTCGTTTCGATGCACCTATTCGACAAGTATGCTAAATTTGCAATCCGGCTTTGGTTTTTAAGCCTTTCCTCCGGAGATTGATCACGCGTTGCATCAGTCTAGTGCCCTCTGTCGTGGTGGCGATCGCTGTTGGACGCAGCGGGCTTAACACTCTGTTAGTTGCTTCACAGGTCGTCTTGTCCGTTGTGCTGCCGTTTGTGGCTTTCCCCCTTATCTACCTGACATCAGCAGAGTTGGTGATGCAAGTGCGCAAACCGGCGCCAATAGAACCCACCCAATCATCGGATCTTCCCCAACCGGGAGAGGGGGACCTACCCAATGCCGACCTCGAAAAGCTCACAGACGACAAATCCGAAGATAAACACCGAACAGAGGTAAAAATAGTGGAGCGTATAGAAGAGCTCCAAGTCATCTCAAGAAAAGATGGCATGATTGATTACAGTAATGGCCGAGTTCTCACCGCGCTGGCGTACGCGATCTGGTGTGTCGTTTTGGTTGCCAATGCCTATGCCATTGTTATGCTGTTTATTAAAGGTTAACTTTTGAATGTCTCGTCATTGTAAAATAGCGCTTAGGTTCTAGGTCTTATTGTATCGTTATATTATCTGTTTTGTATGAAAAGATAGACAAACATATATTGGTGATATTGGTGATTGTTACATAGCTCCACTGGATAACATTCAATAGTATTATGAAGATATATAGAACGCACGTTGTGCGGTATCGGTAATAAAGAGGGTAAAAGATTCAGATAAAACAAATATGAACGTTAGCAAGAATTCCAAACTCGACAAAATAAAGAGAGAAAAAGGTAGGACTGTCCACAGCATTTTAAAGAACGGGAGAGGAGAGGATAACATCAACAAAACTTCAGCATAGTGATGAAAAAATAAAAGAAAATCATAACGAGATCACGATCGTCGCTGGGTCAGGCATAGAGCTCCGACGGTACGAAACGTGATACATCGTATGCGCAGGACGTGCAGCGGGCTCATTGAGTAAATACAAATAAGCCATAGATAATTATTTATCCACTGACGCAAGCAATGGAGGGGCGGCAAGCGAGTGCCTAAAGTGAAGATCAGTAACAAGATAGAAATGTGATGGTGAGACAACTTACACAGGAATAGGGGCATAGCTAACAACCAAGATGGAAACGATTTACTTGACATCGTGGCAGTCACAACCACTGCTTCGACCGACCCATCCTTTGCCACAATTGTCACACCAGCCACGAACAGCACCGTCTACGCCTATCGCCTTCTTAGTAGACATGGGGAGCAAGTTGGCGCTGATGGCTTCGTCACGATGAATACTTATTAAGTGACGTCCAAGATCGTGCTTCCTGCTGAAAGAGCGCCCACAGGAACGTTGAGGGCAGACATGGGGTTTCAAACGGTTGGGGTCATGGGTTGCCATATGTGTCTTCAAATTGTAAGCCCTGGCGAATGCTAAAGAAAGGTTAGCATGATGATGTGAGTTGCAGGACACAATTGAACATACAACGAGGGCAAGCATTGCATTTGTACTTCTTGCGGGGATCACCTTTGGCATCCTCCAGCGGTTGTGGTGTAACCGATGCAAGGGTGGGAAGTTGAGTCGATATGTGTAATGGAGACACAGTAGGGTGGGAAGGAGCATAGCCAAGGTGACCATAGTAGTCCGATGAAGTTGTAGAGCTACGCCTAGGTGGACAATAGTCTGAAAAGCTACCACGAGCAATGTATGGCTTGTCATACATCTTGGAAGAGTTGATAGGCATGGGAGGACTGCGAGGTGGAGTAGGGGGCAGTGGACCAAAGGAAGTCGGGTCATTGGGGTCATCCATGATACTGAGACTGGGCTGCACAGCGCCATAGTCAGAGCCTACACGAACGCGTTGAAATTCCATGCCTAGAGTTTCGAATTCGAAGAGTTGTTGGTTATTGGAATGGTTTACTGGAGGTGCGAAGTTTTGTACTTGGTCGCTATAGAGGGATTCCGAGTGGGAAGACAAGGAGTCGTAGGACTCTGAGGAGACAGTTATGGTAGAAAGAGGACCTTGCCAGGGCTTCTCAGTCCTGAAGAAGCTGTAAGCGTCGTTTGAATCTACTGTAAGTAACTGAAGCTGATCGGGAAAAGCAGCCAAGTTATTGTCGATATCGGACTCGAATAGATCTGGATGAGGAGCAACGACGTCGGAAGGAGACTGAAACGAGAAGAAATCGAGGCTTTGTTGCTTCATAAACTCGTTGTTGTATGCCTCCATGGCATGAGCGTACGACTGTGCTTCAGACATTGTTAATGTTATGAGTGCTGCGGAGGGAGAGGGAATGAAGATGGAGGTTGGGAATAAACAGAGACCATTCCTCACATCCCATCCATATACAGGTGCTGCGCAATTATGTAATATGATCCCACCGGTCTATTGTCTCCGCTTACTGATCTCAAATCCAATTATTGCTTTGTGAATAAACGCTTTTAGTAGCCACATGTTTTCAACTTGGACATGTCCTAGAATCATTCCGCGGTTTACATACTATTTACTTGTAATATTTTATACACGTAGCTGCCACATTGGTGATTTCAAAAAAGAAAGAAATAAAAAAGAATAACACATCTTAACCGCTTATCCGTTGGCATAACACAGCCCATTCAAAAACCGCGTGGTATCATGGCACAGCAACTAACAGGAATCCCGACATCCAAGGAGGTTGAGAGCGCCCACTTGCCAGATTCGGCTATCCATCCCCTTGTTGCCCGTGATACTCATGCCGATTGACGAATGTATATTTACAACGTCCTCGGCTTGTATGGCCCGCCTAGCTCAATCGGATAGAGCGTCAGACTCTTAGGCGGGTTAGCTCGAAAGAGCTTCTTGTGTAATCTGAAGGCTGCGAGTTCGACCCTCGCGGTGGGCTACTTGATTTTTTTCTCTTCTTTTCCTCTTCCTCTTGTTATATTAAGCACGATAGGTACGCATTTCGATTCACCTAGTGAATACAACATTTTCAATAAAAGTACCTTAATTGCGCAATGGAATGACGACTGTCATTTCCTCGCAGTCTTTCGTGCAACGCAAGAACTCTGCGCCCGCAGTTTGGCTGCCAACTGCGAAGCACGAAAATCTGGGGTGAATATTAATTATTTCAGGACCACGTCATCCTTGTCCGCGCATTGTTATCCATGTAGTACCCGTTTAAAGGAGTTTCAACAAAATGAAGGTACGTATCCAATCCGAGTCAAGGCACATGAGAACAAAGTTTTGTATTGAATGGGGTTTCTTGTCCGATGTACTTCGATTCTGTCAATTCTCAACCGCATTTCTTATCCGCGGCAGATCACTGATAAGTACAGATGCATTAGAATTTACGCCATCCGCAGGCATTTTCCTGTGTAATGTACTGCGCAGATCCCTTGTCGATAAACAGGTCATTGACAGCTACGGCGCCGTGAGTTGCGTAGCGGGACCGGCGCTTCTATCCCCTGCCTGCTCTGCCAACCCCGCACTGTTTGCTCACCTGCGGCGTCATAAGCGTCTCCTTGAAATTACGTTTCTATGACAAATTCGTATTTCCGAAGCTTCGGCTAACCACAGGATACCTAAATCTCGCGCAGACCTGATAGGATTTCAAAGTCCTTATTCCCCACCATGAGAACACGTTGAGTTGACAATCAACGTGTGGGAAGGACATGTTACAGATATTATAATCAGTTATATCCGATGACTGTTTTCTAAGTATTGACTTGGGTCAATACATGCCCTAGCTTATCCCTACACTCCACACATGCCCCGGAAACACGACGAGGAGCAATGTCCCATTCGAATTTGAAAAGATCGTGAATTTCATCACGATCACAGTCTAACAGTAGATCATCAGGGTATTCTCGAGAAAAACAACCCAATCCGAGGGAGATAGGGCCGTTTCAGTCCTGGAAATGTGACGAGAGACGGAGCAGAGTGGTATATCCATGTAGAACTTCACCACACAAGGACCGTGGACTCAGTCCGATATCGGCCTTCGTATCATATATGCATTCACAACGGTTGGACAAAATGTGTCTGTCTGTGCTAGTGTCCTGAGTTTGAATTTCAAGGTGATAGCTTCGGCCATGGTTGCTTTGTTCTATCTCGCCTTGCGGCCAAGGTCAAACTTCAAGCCTTCGATCAACGCTCTTAATGGTGGTGTAGTATCGATCATCCCCACAACTGTGCAATCACGATTTGGGCTTTACCAACACCTGAGTCAGGGTACATTGATGCGATGAACTTGTTTAACATGGATCATCCAGGGTAGATAGAAAGATAAAAAAACAAACCAAAAATAAATAAATAAAACAAGTAGCCCACCGCGAGGGTCGAACTCGCAGCCTTCAGATTTTATGAAGATCACCCGCTTTGGGACTTCTTAAAAGTCTGACGCTCTATCCGATTGAGCTAGGCGGGCGATGTAAGTTTCAAATACATGGCCTAGATGACGTACTCCAACATGCAGTATGTGAAATGGTGTGAAATGGACGCACATGAAAACATCAAATCATAAATAACGACTTTTAGGATGTTCAACTCACGCTCATCAACAAACTATGTATGCCCGAGGCAGGCACGATCTGTGGTGTCGTCAAACGGTATTTGCTAGCTCAGGAGCTCTGGCGCGGGGGAGAGGTCTACAAGTTCTGCTGCCTACCCATGTTGCAATAGTATCGAAGGGCTCGACAGAACTCGGTTGCTGCAATGTTCCTAGCTTGCCACAAGGACAAAACACGACGGCCAATACTGAAACGAAATCACGTAGAGTATCAAAATAAAAGGTGATATTTGACTGCTAGCACGAGGTGAGCTTGCAAGCAAGTGTGAATAGTGTTAAATGTGACCTGGCATAACCCTCGTTCCAATGTGCTTTCAGACACATTGGTGTGGTCGCATGATAAACTCGTGGCGAGAGAGTAATGCAGTCATTCTGGCTGATATCTACATGGGTAGCGATCGAGATGTTCGAGTGAAATGTGAAAAACTTGGCTTGTCCTACCTCGCATCCACGAATCTCAGGAGGACATAGAGTCATAAGCTTGCTGATTGTTGATCATGATACCAGTCACCTCATACAAACATAGCGACATTTACGTCAAATAACATCCACCAGTGATAGGGCAAAGACCTGACAGAAAATATCGACCAGTGGACCAGTGAACCCTCATGGATTCGAATGGCTCCGACGAGGGAACCAACAGTACGAATCAACTGCAAAACACTCGCTTGGGTAGGTGATCGGTTACCTGTCAAGTGGTAAAAGTAATACTTTACATACCAAATTCATACATCCGAAACATGTCTGCTTCATAAACTTGAACAGCTGACTGTCCAGTTGTACACCAGGGTCATCCCAAAATGACAGCTCTTCAGTCCCAAACAATTGCATCTTCGTGAGTGCAAGCCCACGTACAGCTCGATCGTGCTAACATCATGCGATAGCCTTTTCAGTCGCTCTGAAACACGAATTTTACCTGTTGATCTTCATAGTGATTAAGCACCTTTTCTGATCTAGTCCTCTTTTGCATGGTTAGCAGTTTAAGCAGAACAGGGTATAAGGTTTCGCTTGGTGTCCAATTTTTATTTGGTCAAGTGGAGCTTCTTGAGACCAGATTAGAAACTGCATGCACCTGTGGGTCCCATCTATAGGGAGGGGCGGAAATCCGGGTTGGACAATGCTGCTGCTGCACCATCTCCTCGCTATAGATCTGTCCTGAGGAAAAGGCAATGACCTGGACGATCTTCTGAGGTGGACCTACACATTCGGAGGACTGAAACAATTAACAATCGATGCCATTATGAATGCCGTCATACAGCTCACTTTCCGAGCAGCCTATACAAACGGGTTTGATCGGTACAAGCCAAGCGGACGATACGTATCGAGAAAGCTCGCTTTCTAGAGACGTTTGAAGTCAAATCCAAATACAGCTGATCGTTTCTTCGACCATGAACCTCCGACCTTCGCAATCATCACCAAAACGATGGAGACTCCAAGAGAAAGTAGCTCAGGCATCACGTAGAACTTCTCGACTCTCGAGTGCCATCAAGCCTCTCGATCGAGAATTTAGGATTTAGCTAGAAGAAATCGTTTCAATGGCTAAGGGCAACGAGGAATGGTTCCACGCACTTTGGATCAGGGATTTTGATGATCACAGTGACCATATGTCAGTGCGCCTTGTTGAGGATACCTGCCATTGTGCGTGGCGGAGTGCATGCATCTAGGAGCCCAGTGCAACCCAGTACCTGGCGGGATGAAAAGAGCAATCGATCAACAACAACAGTCCTTTCTCGTAGGGGATGATTATGTCGTTTTCATGGAGGGTCACCTTGCTCGACACACATAATATACCTACACATTGACCAAAGCCGAGTGGGCCGATGGTGACTTAGGTATAAATAATCAAGGACAAGTTTTCGATACCAGTCGATTATGACGAAAGGGCCGAGTCATACTGTCCTACCTCAGCTTCGGCGTCTAGGCTGTTGAAGCTTGTCGAAAATCAGGTTCAAGTTGGACCTCAAGGACCTCAACTGTTGAAACTCAAATCGAGTCACTGAATAACTTTCACGTGCACCCTTCCAGGTTCTATTTTCATCAAATTGAAATTCAAGATCACAGTCTACACAACATCGACAGCGACTTTGTTAACCTGAACCACTCGATAAGCTTGACCTCAAAAGACCTTGCTGTACGTTTGTTTCCAGATGCACCGTAATCACATCTCTACTTATTTGTTGTTTTGAATTAGGTTATTACCTCTAATTAATTATCCAGGAGTCAATAATATGTCCACCATGGCACACGCTGGTCACAAACCTTCGCTCGCTGGACCGTCTAACTCGGGGGTTTCCCGATTTATTGTTCAAACGTAAGGTTTTGCCTGATCTTGACAACAATGTGCTGAAGCCAGACTCACCAAGTTCAGATGTTTTATCGGATATGCGCGTGAATGTGTCAGATGAAATATCAGGTAAAGTCGTCTGGTATAAGGTCAGTCGTATCGCCAATGTCTATAGGTCCGTGTCAACTTAACGCGTAAGGGATTCATAGGAAAGATTCCTGGGAGAAGATGAGATCATAGTCAACCTTGTGGTAATACGTTTGAATCCTTTGATTGTCAATCTCTTGAGTTTGAAACTCTACACACAGCATGCTCCAACAAACACCGTATGCTGGACCATACATCGTCCTACTAAGGGATGGTATATTCGAATTCGGTCCCCTTTCTTTCCACCGGGAGTGTTTATCCCCTTGATCCCGGTTCCCTCGAACGCCCCGTATCACGTCGATGCTGCTATGTCATTTAATACCCGCACCAACAATCCCTGTATTCAAGTCCTGTCGCCTGTCGCACCAATAGTGGAAGAAAAGGACTCTCAATTTATAATACAAGACGAGGAGGATGTCACAACCAGTTCGATTAATTTGCATTCATACCCGCCCACACCTACACCCGCTATGAAATTGAGCAGCGGAAGCACCAGCCATTCTCAACACCAAGTACGAGATACTGCTCAAGCCTCTTCCCAGATAACCCAATTCATCCTTGCTCCCACTTCTATTCCGCCTTCCCAACCGCAACCCAGCGCGTCTTTCTTTGCCCGTGCTTTATCAGTTCTACGGAGCCATCGACCTTCACATTCCAGTTCCTTTACTCTATCTCGTGTCTTGCCTTTAAATCCTTCCAGCCCTCCTCCGCCATATGCTTCCTCAACAGCCTTCGCTACCGAGAGTCCATCTACTGAACCCCTGCTGCACGAACCGCTCCTTGTGTTCCATGACCATACCCCAGTTTTAACAGTACGCTCTGTTACAGGGTTCATTGAGATCGAGAAATCTGAGGAGAAGAATCTGGGAGTAGACACCAGTTTTTGGATTGCGATGGCGCTCACATACCTAGAGTTCTTAGAAGAAAGAGAGGTGAGTTGTGATTCTTCACGATCCTGTCACACCACGTTCTTACAGCAACTCATATAATATCAGAGTTATTTAGCGGCAATAAGTGATTGAGGGTATGATACAATTGGGGTTCTGGTTTCGCTTACGTTTCCCCTTACTACTAGTAATTACTTGTGTTTTACAATCCATTTGCTCTACCTCTACGTTGGACGAACCGAAGTTCCTTATATATATGACAATGATCATGTTGCATTGTGCGCAGTCATGGTCTGTTTGAAATCGCTGGCGCGCACTTTCGAACAACTTTCGATGGGTGGTTCGGCAAATTTGAAGATGCTGTGCATAGTATTATGTCTTGAAATGGGCCGTTGTTGCGCACGGCAGTATGAGTCCTGATTTCTATTTTACCACACCCAATAAATGACAACAAATAACATCAGTCGTGGGCGAACGAAATCAACTGGAAAGAAGCGTGCGGAATGATTACATGCCAGTGACGGGTTGATGTTGCGTTACAGAAACAATGGCAGGACGCCCGGATAAAAAAACTCGCCTTATAAATAGGACTCATAATGTTTAGCATACTTATGGCCAAGTCAAAAATCTATACTTCTTTGCGACGAAGCGCACTGAAATAAAGGCGCGTCCTGCTTCCGTGCAACATTTAAGGAGTAGTATATCATGAGTGCCTTCTAAAGTGAATGATAAATCAACCAGTTGCAGTGTAGGATCTGTCAATCTATTAATCTATTAATTGTTCCCGAAAATTCGGCGGACTGAGCACTAAAAAAGGTAGTAATTTCTAAACATGGTGAGTGTGATTGGTCCGAAAACGTGTGCAATTCTAAAATCGGGGACTTAAGTTCTGAATTTGTAAACGAACTATATCTTTCTCACCGACTACAACAATGAAGTTGTGTGGCGATTATGGGTCTTTGGACTTCCAAAGCTCATGCGTACGCGCAGCTTGGGCGTCAATCCTCCCAGCAACATTTGTGTTTGCACTGTGCATCCTTTCAATTCCTATCCCAGCACCTGTCAAAAAGCTCCTGACGGTTCTTGGCGCACCCTTCCAAACATACCTCACATTACACGAAGCTGAAGCTCTCGATGTTAATGCTCGGAAAGATACCGACAATGAGGACCCAGAAACTAGTGTTGAAGTCTCTTCATTTGTGCCCCTCTGGAGGACCCTCATCTTTGTCTTCCTTGGAGTCTTGCAAACCATTTGCTGGATCGCTGACGGTTCATTCCAGCTTTACATCCAGTCCGTGGACAGGGTTCAAGGGTTCCTATGCTTTTTGGTTGCATTGTGCTGGTTATACACGGCTATTCGGCCGGTAGCACGTCCAGTTGCTACTCCACCTTATGATCTCTTCGCATTGTACCTCATTCTATTTGCCACAACTATCCTTCAGATTGGGGGTGTTCTGTTTGACCATAGTGTGCTTGGATATCCATTGCCATCGACTCTTCATACAGTTGCACTGATGTCAAATCTTGTCATCCTCGTTCTC